CTCAGGTCTCAGGGCTCAGGGCTCAGGGCTCAGGGCTCAGGACCAAGTCTGAGGGCCCCGCTGGGGCACTGGGGTCTGGCCGAGGCGGCCACTGGCCAGCAGGCCAGGGCCGGGGCCTCAGCGAGCTCTCTCCTCCATGGTGCAGATCGAGCGCGCAGCAGTATGGTCTCCACAGAAAGTGCCTCCTCCACCTATGAAGAGCTGGCCAGGGCCTACGAGCACGCCAAGATGGAGGAACAGCTGCGGCACGCCAAGTTCACCATCACCGAGTGCTTCATATCGGACACGTCGTCCGAGCAGTTGACGGCAGGGACAAACGAGTACACGGACAGCCTGACCTCCAGCACCCCTTCAGAGTCGGGGATCTGCAGGTTCACTGCGTCCCCCCCCAAACCTCAGGATGGAGGGCGAGTGATGAACATGGCGGTGCCCAAGGCGCATCGTCCAGGTGAGGCTGGCTGCGGGCCCCGGCGCGGTCTCCCGGAGGCCAGGCGTTCGCCCGGCTGTTTCGCCGTCCCGCAGGGCGGCCCCAGGCTCGCCGGCCTACCCGCTTCACCCTCTGTCTTGCTCCTGGTGGGGAGGCCCAGCCACAGCCCCGTGTCCGCGGGGGAGGCGCCGTCAGGGCCAGCGGTCAGCCTCCGGCCGGGCCCTTCTGCTGTGGGCTCCGGTCAGCCGGCCTGGGCCTCCCGTGGCAGGCGGCGGGGCTGAGAGCAGGTGACCCGGGAGCCAGCCAGATAGCCCGTCGCTAGGGCCCAGGTTTAGGGGAGACCCCGCACCTGAGAGAGGGGCTGCTCTCCGGAGGCCCCTCAGCGAGTGCTCTGAGCAACCGGCTGGCCCGGGGCCCCGAGTGAGCCGACGTGGCGGTGACCAGCCGAGGTCAAGCGGGCCTTCGTGTCCAGCCCCTGGGCGTGCTCCGGGCTGGCGTGTGCGCTCCCGACGGTAAGCTGTGGGGTCTGGCAGACAGTGTGGATGAGGAGTGAGGCGCGGAGCGGGGCAGAGGGAGGGGGCCCGGGGACAATCGGGCAGCAAGCCGGACCGCCGGCCGGCGGGAGCAGCGGCCCGGGGCCAGTTTGGCTCATGTGACGTTTCCTGGCCCTCGGCTCGGCGACGGCACCAGGGAGCAGGACCCCGAGCGTGGCCGCGGCCGTCTCCAGGGCCGCCCCAAGCCCAGGGCCGCCCCAAGCCCAGGCCGGCACCCTCTGCGGCCGTCCCGTCCGCCCCCGCAGACTGTAGCTGTGTCCTCCCTCCCGTTCGCTGAGCCGCTGTGCTGGTTCCAGTTCAGAAATTCACCTTCGCGCAAAGTGCTGTGATTGCTCTGGTCTCTGTGGCGAGACCGGCGGAGCCCGGGCGTGGGTCTCAGGGGCCTCAGCGCCGGGGCCTGTCTGGCCGGCCGGACGCCCGGCTCGGTCAGCGGCGGCGATGGCTCCGGCCGTCTCTGGCCCGCTCCCCAGGGCGGCAGGGGTTTCCGGGTGTGTTGGTTTCCAGTATTTTCTGCGGCTGGCATTTACTTGCAAGGCTGATGCAGAGGGTGGGGTAGCTGCCGGGGCTTTCTGGGGCTGTGCGGCCCGAGGGGAGGAGCCGGTGGGGCGCGGGGCGCGGGGC